TCAGAGCTGTGGCTAGCTCTGTGTTTCAGAACCAAGAGTGCCTTCCTTGGCCTGAGGTTTGTGGGTCTCTGGGTCAGGTTAGAAGTGGGGTGCCCTTGCTATTGGGGCTACCCAAAAGTAAAAGGCAGCCCCTCTGGCAACCCCCCCCCCCCAAGCACCAAGAATACAGACCACTGTTGGACCTCTGCTTCAATTCCCTCTTGAAGCCGTCCATTCTTGTAGCTGCCACCACCTCCTGTGGCAGTGAATCCCATGTGTTAAGCACTCTTTGGGTGAAGAAGTACTTCCTTTTATCCGTTCTAACCCGACTGCTCAGCAATTTCATTGAGTGCCCACAAGTTCTTGTATTGTGAGAAAGGGAAAAAAGTCCTTCTTTCTCTCCCTGCTCTATCCCATGCATAATCTTGTAAACCTCAATCATGTCACCCCTCAGTCATCGTTTCTCCAAGCTAAAGAGCTCCAAGCGTTTTAACCTTTCTTCATAGGGAAAGTGTTCCAATCCTTTTATCATTCTAGTTGCCCTTTTCTGCACTTTTTCCAATGCTATATCTTTTTTGAGGTGTGGTGACCAAAACTGTACACAGTATTCCAAATACTGGCTGATTTGTTTTCAATTCCCTTCCTAATAATATCCAGCATAGCATTGGCCTTTTTTAAAATTGTGGTTGCACACTGTCTTGACATTTTCAGTGACTTATCTACCAAGACTCCAAGGTCTCTCTCTTGGTCAGTCTCTGCCTGTTTGGACCCGATCAACATGTATTTATAGTAAGGATTTTTGGCCCCAATGTGCATCACTTTGCACTTGGCCACATGGAACCCCATTTGCCACATTGCTGCCCACTCGACCATCCTCAACAGATCCCTTTGGAGTGCCTCACAATCCTCCCTGGTTCTCACCGCCCTAAACAATTTCGTGTCATCTGCAAATTTAGCCACTTCACTGCTTACTCCCAACTCCAAATCATTAAAGAACAAGTTAAAAAGCATCGGACCCAGTACTAATCCCTGCGGTACCCCACTGCTTACCACCCTCCACTGAGAAAATTGTGCATTTCTACTCACTCTCTGTTTCCTATTAATTAGCCAGGTTTTGATCCACAAGAGGTCCTTTTATCCTGTGAATATTGAGCTTACTTAGGAGCCTTTGATGAGGAACTTTATCAAAAGAAGAGGAAGAGATTGGATTTATACCCCGCCCTTCACCACCCAAAGGTGTCTCAGAGTGGCTTACAAACTCCTTTCCCTTCCCTCCCCACAACAGACACCCTGTGAGGTAGGTGGGGCTGAGAGAGCTCTTGACAGAAACTGCTCTTTTTCAAGAACAGCTGTGCCAGAGTTATGGCTTGCCCAAGGTCATCCAGCCAGGTGCAAGTGGAGGAGTGGGGAATCAAACCCGGTTCTCCCGGATTAGAGTCCGTGCACTAACCACTACACCAAACTGGCTCTCTTTCTGGAAGTCAAGGTAAACAACAGCAAAATGAAGAGCATGAACAGGTACATTTGGTTGCCCCTTTGAAAGTATACCACACTATTTTAAGTAACAGCAAAATGAAGAGCATGAACAGGTACATTTCTTGCCAGTGTTCTCTCTCAGCTGCAAACAGGGCAAAAGGAAATTTTAAAAGGCCTCTGATCTGCATCTCCCCTCCCAAAACTTGTCCGTGCAGATGGGCTTACCATTTAAAAACGAAGTGGAAACTGAAAGAAGAGAAGTGGCTGAAGCAGCCCCCCTCCCTTCACTACCATGGAAAAAACTTCTCTTCCTGTGGCAAGGAATGTTATCAAATCTCTTTCCCCGCTGAAATAAAGGCAGCTAAAGTTCCTAAAGACCAGCATTTGACAACGGACCTCCCTGTTGGGAGAAGGGGGATGTTTTCCAATCCCATTGTCCATCACAGTAATCAGGGAAGGAGGGAGGGCACTGAACCCCATCAGGGAGGGGCCGTGGTGGCTGAGTGGCAGAGCACCTGCTGGGCATGCGGAAGATGCCAGATTCAATCCCTGGCAGGGGGAGGTGATGTGGAAGGGGCCCTCCCTCAATCCCTGGCACCCGGGAGAGCCTCTGCCAGTCCGAGCTGACAATACTGACCTAGACGGACCCAGAGCCTGATTCCGGAGGAGGAGGAGGCAGCTTCTGCATAAAACACTCAGGAGACGATTGAGAGGAATGTAAAATATTAAAATGCAGAATTTGCTGCCAGAGGATGTAGTGATGGCCACAGGCGTAGACGCCTTTCAAAGAGGACTAGATGGATTCATGGAGGATAAGTCTGTCCATGGCTACTAGCCCTGCTGACTGAGGGGAACCTCCACATGCAGAGGCACTGATCCTCCGAATCCCAGAGCCAGGAGGCAACCTCAGGGGAAGGTCTCAGCCTCCCTGCCCTGTTGTTGGCCCTCCAGAAGAACTGGTTGGTTACTGTGTGAGAACAAATGCAGGGCCGAAAGCTAAAATGAAATAAGAATTAATTGCACATAAAAGACATGTATTTATTACAAAGATGTTAAAAGCATATGTCCAAGAGAAGACAATAAGTCACCTAATGTGTTGCGATCAATACTCCCTCTAAGCTGCGGAGTCTTGTGAGCAAAAATTCTGCTTTGTGAGCTACTGGCACTAAAGCTGTGAGCAAACGATTTGGCTACTTCATAAATTATTAGTTTGCTCTGGAGCCATCCCTTCCTGAGCTGAGACAAAAATGTGTGAGCCGGAGGCTAAAAAACTGTGAGCTGGCTCGCACTAACTCAGCTTAGAGGGAACACTGGTTGCGACCCAATTGGGCCTTCTTCAGAGGGGTCATGGGGGGGGTACTAAAGGATGCTGGGGGTCCCTTCCAAGTCTCTGATTCTAAGGTACAAATAGGCTCCTATTAAAATCAAAAGACAGTACATAAGTAGATATAGGAGCAAAACAGGAGTGCTGTTAAGGGAGAAAACAATAGTATTTCGAAAACTATTTAAAATGCTGTGTCTGATAATGATCTATATTATTGAAGAAGCCAAATGTATTGCACTTGCTCCAAAGAAGAAATCAAAAGACACAAGAAAAGTATTTCACGTGAGGCCTCCCGGGATCCAGCCTTGTGTGTCAAATGAAGATGCACACGAGTTGAAGGATGTTGCTCTTGTGTGTCTAGAAGTAAACAATACGGGGAAAGTTTTCTAATATTGACTTGTGCCACAATGTAAAATAAACTCAGTTTAACAGAGTACAATTTTGGTCACCTCTGAACGCCTGGTCTTGAAAACTCTGGGGTGGCTATGGGGCAGCTGCGACTTGATGGCCCCGCCCACCCCCACAGAATATGGGGAGCAAAGGAGGAAGAAGAGCGGGATTTCAAGCGGAGGCCTTGTGCTTCCTTCATGCGCTTTGGGAAGTCTCGTGTCAGGGCGGAAAGTGTTTGTGGATTCTCACCTTGTTCCGGGTCTCCCTCCCAGGCAGTGGAACAGCATCAGTGCCACATATCCTGGACTTGGACCTTCCTTGGGGTGGTGCTGAAGGATGCTCAGCTCAGGGGAGGACCCCCCTCCGGGAGGGATGCGGGAAAGAACTCAGGAGGCCCCTGCTCTGTGTGGGGTTGCCAGTTCCAGGTTGGGAAACTCCTGGACATTTGGGGGTGGGGCCTGGGTTTTGAGAAGGGGGAGCCCTCCGTGGGTTATCATGCCAGGGGGAGTCAACTCCCCAAAGCTGCCACTTTCCCCCCAGGAGAATCGATCCGGTTGCCATTCCAGGAGATCCCACCTGGAGATTTGCAATTCTGTCTTTCTGGCTCTTCTCTGCCCCGCAGCTTCTGGTGCGGAAAGACCCCCCAGCCGGCCGGCCCCTGGGGAGGCTGCGGAGTCCACTCGGTCTCCCGCCCTGTGCAGAGGAGGCCTCTCCCTGTTGCACTTTATCTTGACTGACCAGTTACGGATCAGCAGAGAGCAGCTGCGGGAAAGGTGGGGAGGGCCGGTTTTTATTGCTGGCATTTCTTTGGCGTTCCTTGCGGTCAGCCTTTCTCGCAGGGACTCAGCCCAAGGCGGGTGCTGCAGGGCGAGTCGGAACCCTCCCCTGATTCAAGAGAGGAGAGATCCAAGGAGCAAGGCGGGGGGAGTGGGGGGGGACTCCGGGAGGGCGGCCCAGGTGGGCAGGATTACTCCCGAGGAGTCCCGCTGAGCCGCAGAGGGCGTCGCTGGACGGAGGCAGCCTGGCTGGAGACCGGTCCGTCCCTCTCGGTCTGGGAGCGGGAAGGATTTTAATGTGTGTCCAGCACTGCGAGGGTTAAAGGGAAGACGCTGCTTCCTAGAGGCCGAGCAAGGCGGTGGGGGGGGGGGGAGG